TTTGACAAATTGAACTTGTCATAAAAGAAACGTTACGGCTTATTTTTCCTGTATTACTTTAATAAATTCCAATACAGGTTATGAATCTTCATATTTTGTGTATTGAATGATATAATATGTTATAATAATGAGAAAATTACAAAAAAAAGTATTTGAGAATTGATAAGAAATAAGTTGCGTTATTATTTTGATTTTCTTCCCTTCAAATTATGTCAGTTTTTTTTGTTGATTTTGTCCCACTGACATTATTCATATTATATAAAAAGACATGTCAAAATTATGACAGTTGGTGCCTGTCATAGTTTTAACATCTGTCAAGTTCATGAAGTATATACGTCAAATTGATCAAAATTATGTAAATATAATTGCCTATATGCAATGACGTAATACCGGTGACGCCATCTATTTTTAATTTTATGTATAATTTTGTTAATTACTTATAAATATAATAAAATAAGAATACGGCACGCAATAAGCATGAAATTAAAATTTTGCATAGAAAATGTGAGAACAAAAAAAAATAACTAACCTTGTCATGTTGACGTTATGAGTGTGTACAAAAAAAAATAAATAGATTTTGCTTTCGTCGTCTGCGATCCGCTACGATCGAGGCGTTGATCGACATTACTTGCGTGTAAAAAGTAAACAGTGTAATTACATGCTAATTGCGGGCGGGTCCGAGCGCGTTCGACCGAGCGAACGAGTCGAAATTTTCCGAACGAGACATTTCATTGCGAGAAAAATACTGAATTTTTCCACGTGGAAATTATATTATGGAAATGCATGAAAATTCAGCTGTGGAAATGTATTGAGATTTGACTTGGAAGCAGAAAATATTGCATTTTACGGACGTAAACGCGAAAACGTATACTGTTTCAACAAAATCCACGTTGGCGGAAATACAATAATAACAAAAAAAAAACAAGAAAGGAAAGGAATGTAGGAAAACAAGAGAGAATAATGTAGGACGAGTATGTATTTTGTTTCATCGTGTAGCTACATTATTTGCACTGTTTCTACAAGCATGTTTGATTTGTTTTCTGTTTGCTTTGAGTATAATTTGTATATGCACTTAACAATTGTTATTTCTATTTTAACTAATTATTATGAGAAAACTATTGCTTCATTACAGACAACGAAGGAAAAAACAATATTAATAAAAATATTTAATTTACAAATTTTCTATTAATCAAAATTCTTTAAAAAAAAAATCAATTTTTCTATTGAAATTTAACATCGAAAAGCAACAATTCTTAAGTTATGTAAAAATACTCAATTCCTAATAAAATTTTGGTTTTAGTTTGAAAGTATTAGAAAAAAAAATACAAAAAATGAAATTCGAATTATGAGAAAACTAATAAAGCTACAATTGTGTAAAAATACTCAATTTATTCCTAAATATTTTTGCTTTATTTTGAATGTATCAGTTTTTATACAATATTTATAGTTTATACAAAAAGTACAAGGAAAATTTACTTGAAATTTGATTTTGAATTACGAGAAAACCAGTATAGCTACAATTTGTGCAAAAATACTGAATTTATTCCTAAATATTTTCGCTTTATTGTATAAGTATTAGTTTTTATACAATATTCATAGTTTATACAAAACGTATGAAAAAAAAAATTACTTGAAATTTGATTTCAAATTACGAGAAAACTAATAAAGTTATAATTATGTACAAATACTCAATTTATTCCTAATTATTTTCACTTTATTTTGAATCTATAAGTTTTTATACAATTTTCATAGTTTATACAAAAAGTACAAGAAAAAGTTACTTGAAATTTGGTTTCGAATTACGAGGAAACCAATAAAGTTACAATTGTGTAAAAATACTCAATTTATTCCTAAATATTTTCGCTTTATTGTATAAGTATAAGTTTTTATACAATATTCATAGTTTATACAAAAAGTACAAGAAAAATTTACTTGAAATTTGATTTCGAATTACGACAAAACTAATAAAGCTACATTTTATTCTCAAAATTTTAGCTTTATTTACATAAAAATTACAACAAATTAGGTGAAATTTGACTTTGAATTATGAGAAAACCAATAACGCCATGCAAAATAGTGAAATTTACAGAATTTCTTGAAAATTTGATATTTACTGTAAATTTTTCAATATCTGAAATTCTCCAATTATGCAATAATTTCAGCTTTAATTTGCAAATTTCAAATTCGAAACTATTTTCTTACTTTAAAGAACAAATTCGTTCCTGTATAAATAAATATTCAGTTTACTTATTAACTTTTTTCATTTACATACTAAATCCATTGCTCATAGTTTCTAATCTATTAGGGAAATATTAAATGTATCGAATTTTGTAGTTAAAATTAGAAGAATCTCATTTACTTGGCAATTATGCGAAATGCATTCAGTCCGTTCCCAATAATTTCAGTTTCGATTTGCATATTTGTTCATAGAAACCCGACGAATCTGCACGCGCACTGACAGTTGTTACATCCAAACTTGACAGCGAATTACGTGAAAACCATCGACGCTACAATTCATTCAAAAACAGCAAAAAATTTACATACTTACTACTGCGTTAACAGCTTCAATTTACAGAGAAAATACTGTTTTGCAAAATGAGTAGAAACATAATTGATGCTGCAATTATACAAACGCATTCATTTACATAGAATAATAGTGGAAATTTCCTTAGTTTACGTATGCAAAATATAAATAAAAAATAACAGTTATTTAAAGTAAATTAAGATGCTGCAATTATGCAAAAATCGTCGCTTGAATTCGCAACGGTTTTCAGCTTAACTCAATATACAAATTCCCCATTGAATTCGCAGTTTTAGGATGAATACGCTTAAGACGTGATGAAATGCATTTCCTTATAGTAACAGCTTTAATTTGCATTGTTAAACCTTCGGTGGTTTTAAACGAGAGACGTAATGGCACCGTTTAAAATGTCGTTAAACGGAGAGAATAACAAAATAATGGCAATTGCAGACTTTCAGTTCGAATTAGCGTATTTCGTGGAATTTATTTTTTGAAAGTATTTTACTGAGAGATATTCTTGTAACTTCTTAATATTGATTAGGGAAACGTTCTTGTTTTAAAGTGAATTAATGATCGCTATGGAAACGATTGCGAGCGAGCGAGCGATTTAAGGAAGACAAATGAAACGCGAAACAAATTGAATCGTTCGTAAGAAGCGAGCGAGCGAGCCGTGACCGAAGGGGGAGAGGAGAAAATTGATGGGTCCATCAGAGAGAAGAAAGTTCATATATATAATTGAAGATTGTGAATGTGAATTGGAAAAAGAAGGGTGCAAAAGGTAAAAGTAATGGAATTAATAATCGCAGAGTTTACGGCGAAAGGTTGAACAAAAGACGATCATCTCTCGAAAAGACAAAGGAAAAAAGAGAGAGAGAGAATAATAATGTTTAAGAATGGCGATTGAAATGGGAGAAGGATGTAATTAGCGAGAAAGAGACAATGTCGAAAGGATTTGGGTTTAAATAACGAGGCGGAATGGAGAGGAAGATTGGAAAGCGATAAAGAGGAATCGATGGATCGTGTCTTCGACGTCGCTTAATTAATTGGAAGAAGAGACGGTCAGATGGGATGAAAGAGTTTTATGGTTTGTTTGTTTTTTTTGCACACTTTACAAGCAAAGTATGAAAGAAAATGGGAATGCGTGAAACGTTCTGGTATGTCGGGAATTCACTATAGCCAAGCAATTCGCTGCATAATTTGCGTTTATAACAAAAACGTGCAGTTCTAATGGAATTTGTCTATTCAGTTGTTTTTTTTGTTGCAGTTTTGGTATACATTATTCCGATAAATATGTGTTTAGATAAGGATTAAGTAAAGTTAGGTTAGTTTAGGTTATATTTACTTAACCCAAGATTTGTTAACTTATGTTAGGTTAACTTAGTCTGCACTTGCTTATATTAGGTTAAGTTACCATAGTTTTTAATTGCTTTGCTTAAGTTTGCTTATGTCAAGTTAAGTTACCTTTGTAATCATTTGTTTAGGTTAGGTTAGATTGGTTTATGTTTGCTTATGTTAAGTTAGATTATCTTTGTATATGTTTATTTATATTAGGTTAGTTTTGTTTAAGTTTGCTTAAGTTTAGTTAGGTTAGCTCTGTATACTTTTGTATAGGTGACGTTAGCTCGGTTTAAGTTACGCTTGGTTATATTAGGTTAGCTTGGTTTATGTTTGCTTATGTTAAATTAGGTTGGATTTGTATACATTTGTTTAGGTTAAGTTAGGTTAGCTTTGTCTAAGTTTGCTTATCTTTATTTATATTAGGTTAGATTTATTTAAGTTTGCTTAAGTTTAAGTTTATGTTTGCTTATGTTAAATTAGGTTAGATTTGTATACATTTGTTTAGGTTAGGTTAGCTTGGTTTAAGTTAAGCTTGGTTATATTAGGTTATCTTTGTTTATGTTAGATTGGTTTATGTTTGCTTATGTTAAGTTAGGTTAGATTTGTATACATTTGTTTAGGTTAGGTTAGCTTTGTCTATATTTATTTATATTAGGTTAGCTTGGTTTATGTTTGCTTATGTTAAGTTAGGTTAGATTTGACTATATTTATTTATATTAGGTTAGCTTGGTTTATATTTGCTTATGTTAAGTTAGGTTAGATTTGTCTATATTTGTTTAAGTTAGGTTAGATTTGTTTATATTAGTTTAGGTTAGGTTAGCTTTGTTTAAATTTGGTTATATTGAGTTAGGTTAGATTTGTCTATATTTATTTATATTAGGTTAGCTTGGTTTATGTTTGCTTATGTTAAGTTAGGTTAGATTTGACTATATTTGTTTAGGTTAGGTTAGGTCGGTTTAAGTTAAGCTTGGTTATATTAGGTTAGATTCGTATACATTTGTTTAGGTTAGCTTTGTCTATATTTATTTAGCTTGGTTTATATTTGCTTATGTTAAGTTAGGTTAGATTTGTCTATATTTGTTTAGGTTATGTTCTTATATATTTATTACAATAAGTGTAGTTTTTGTTTAAATTTTCTTACCTTGGTATGTCTCCTATTTTCGGTGCTCTTTGTTTCCGACATGCACAGGCTCCATCTTGCCATGGGCTCGCTATAAGACAAAAACAAACAAAAAAATGATCAAGACACTTTACAAACAAAAGACATAAAAGTAAATATTTACATCATCTGCAGCGTTTACTACTACTACTACAAATTTCGATAATATGTAAACTATATAGACGTTTAGTCATGATAATCCAATTCACAACATTTTCATTATAATTTCGCATAAAAATGAATAATTCAACTATATTATTATAAAAAAAATGCAGACTAGGGTGTATAGTGTGTAGTATAATGGTTTGAATTGGAATACATGCATTGGAATACACCCTCTCTCGCTCACTCTACTATATGCATGTGGGAAGTCACATCTGCATATGCATTTTTTAACTCGGCGCACCGCAAAGTGGGTCACGAGGATGAAATATTACGCAATTGCTGGCGCAGATTTAATAAATAGATAATGGAGGTCCATCGATTTGAACTTTGCGCGCATCCTGAGAGATCGTCAATCGAAGAAGAAATGTTTATACACACGCACACAAGAAAATGAATCAATGGTTTAATTGTTGCAATGTTGGATGGATTAATCGCAGAACTTGTTGTTGTTGTTGTTGTAGGAGGGTGGAGAAGTTTCGTTACGAAGTCGAGGTTGTTAATAATAACGGCATGCGAGGAAATTTAATCCGAACAACGAGCTATTATTTTGCAAATAATAACTTCGTGAATTGTTTATTACTCTGCGTAATCCCATTGCGGAGTTTCCGCTTTTGTGGACGCAACAACGGGGATGAATTAAAGGGAATTTAAAGTGAGAAAGGCCACTTTCCTAGCACATCCTCTCTTCTTTGTAAACTAATTAAGACGTAGCGACGATATCCTCCCGCGCGATATCCTGATGATGCACGAGGATCAGTTTGTGCAAAGCTTTGACCAAACCTAATTTGACGCATTCTAATCTAACTTCATTTAACTTGACATATCCTATCATAACGTAAGTTATCACAGTTTGACATTGCCTAACCAAACTTGACGTATTGTTTGACATAATTTGACATTTCCTAACCTAGCATAACTTGATATATCCTAACCTAATTTGATTTTTTCAAAAATAAACGTAATTTATCCCAATTTATCCACATCCTAACCTATCCTATCTTGGTATATACTAAACTAACCAAATTTGACATATCCTAACCTATCATAACTTGATATATCCTAACCTAATTTGATTTTTTCAAAAATAAACATAATTTATCCCCATTTCTCCACATCCTAACCTATCCTAACTTGGAATATACTAAACTAACCTTACATAAATTAAGTTATTTCAATTTATCATATACTAAACTAACCAAATTTGACATATCCTAACCTATCCTAAATTGATATATCCTAACATAATTTGATTTTTCAAAAATAAACATAATTTATCCCAATTTATCCACATCCTAACTTGGTATATACTAAAATAAACTAACCTAACATAAATTAAGTTATTTAAATTTATCTAAACTAACCAAATTTAACATATCCTAACCTAACCATATTTAACATATATATTCAAAATATAATGTATCCTAATCTATCCCAAATTGTTATAACCTAACCTCATTTAGTTTGAAATATTTTAACATAAGTTGTCCCAATTTAAAATGTTATAACCTGACAAAATTTAGCATATTCCAAACATGATTCACACCAATTTGACATATCCTAATCCAACATAATCTAACCTAATTTGAAATTTTCTGACATAACTATTCCTATTTTCAATTTATCATATACTAAACTAACCAAATTTGACATATCCTAACCTATCCTAACTTGATATATCCTAACCTAACCTTATTTAACATATTCAAAACATAATGTATCCTAATCTATTCCGAATTGATATAACCTAACCTCATTTAGTTTGACATATTTTAACATAAGTTGTCTCAATTTAAAATGTTATAACTTGACAAAATTTGGCATATACCAAACACGATTCACACCAATTTGACAAATCCTAACCTAACATAATCTAACCTAATTTGAAATTTTCTAACGTAACTATTCCTAAACAAATTGAACGTAAAATAAACATCTCTTTAGAAAAGAACAAATTTCATAGAATATTTCAATTTGTTTGTAAGAATCTCAAAGACAATATACTTTTTTTTATTCAAACACTGAAAAAAAATGAAAGTTTTAATGCATTTCATACCAAAACTTTTGTATTTCGTTTATGTGTGTATGTTTTATTAATAAAGTAAGAAATGAGCAGACCCGAAAATACTTTGCATATTCAATTAAAGTTTCCATCCTCCGTACAAAATCTTTACACACATTTACCGCTCGCTTCTCCCCATTTATATTCCATCGAAAGGCCAGCAAAAAAATCGTAATTTCGTATTAATACCAAAAAAAAAAAAGAAGTTTCTTAATAAACAGTTATTGCAATATTTACAGGAGTGGTCTTAAAGTTCGTCCGGATAAAAGAAAAAGTATATGCATATAAAACGAATTTCCCCCCAAATCGGTTGAACGATAAACATCAATGTTAATGTCATCAGAAACCTTATGCAAATTTCGCTTTTACGTGCTTTCCTTCGTTTTATTTTTAGTACGAAAGATCAAGAAAAATATATATATAAAAAGAAATAAGTGTAGGTTAAGTATTTCCAACTGTATGAGAACAATAAAAAAAATACGAAACTTATACAAGTAAAACGTCAAATCTGTCAAAAGCAGTATGAAATTACCAATTTAGTAATGAAACATAAAACAAAACGTCAAATCTGTCAAAAGCAGTATAGAAATTACCAATTTAATAATGAAACATAAAACAAAACGTCAAATCTGTCAAAAGCAGTATTGAAATTACCAATTTAGTAATAAAATAAAACAAAACGTCAAATCTGTCAAAAGCAGTATTGAAATTACCAATTTTGTAATGAAACATAAAACAAAACGTCAAATCTGTCAAAAGAACTTTGTTTGGATAATTAAATAGTCATCAGATACAAAACATCAAAAGTGTCAAAGTCAAATCTGCAAAATTTGAATTAAAGTTACACTTTTGTTAATAGATAATCTAGAAATCATTGATAAAACAAAACGTCAAATCTGTCAAAAGCAATGTCAAATTGAAATTACCAATTTTGTAATGAAACATAAAACAAAACGTCAAATCTGTCAAAAGTTGCTATACTTTTGTTAATGGATAATCTAAAAGTCATAGCTAGAACAAAACATCAACAAGTGTAAACGTCAAATCTGTCAAAATTTGAATTAAAGTTACACTTTTGTTAATAGATAATCTAGAAATCATTGATAAAACAAAACGTTTGTAAATGTAAACGTCAAATCTGTCAAAATTTGAATTAAAGTTACATTTTTGTTAATGGATAATCTAGAAATCGTTGATAAAACAAAACGATTATAAAAGTAAACGTCAAATCTGTCAAAATTTGAATTGAATTTACATTTTTGTTAATGCATAATCTAGAAATCGTTGAATAAACAAAACGGTTGTAAATGTAAACGTCAAATCTGTCAAAATGTGAATTAAAGTTACAAAAGTGTAAAGATAAACGTCAATTCTGTCAAAATTTAAATTAAAGTTTCATTTTTGTTAATGGATAATCTAGAAATCATTGATAAAACAAAACGGTTATAAATGTAAACGTCAAATCTGTCAAAATTTGAAATAAATTACACTTTTGTTAATGCATAATCTAGAAATCATAACAATGATAAAACAAAAAGTTATATTGTATTACACAAAATTCTACGCTGTTTATTTTTTGTGCGGTTATAAAGTCCTCGATTAGTCCGGTTTCAAACATTGCGGTAATTTAAAAGTGAGTGGAAAATTTGCATTTGCCATTTTTTTTTTTGAATAATATTATGTGTACAAACTTTAGAAGCGAAGAAGATACAAGCGAAATTAATAATTCATAAGTGTTTCCTTTTGTAAATTTTGTAATGCACTTACGCAACGCGCCACTTTTCGTTTCGATAAGTAAAGGTCATCGCGGTCTATTTACACGACGAGCGAAGAAAGAAAAGGAAAAAAAAAATAAAGAAGAGAAGTTGAGTATATTATGTAATTTTCTATTTTCTTATAATAATATTATTTTTCTAATGCTAAAACTTACGTGAATCCATGATTTATGTATCTTTTTGTGAGAATCAAATAGTTTAGTTCACTCTGTTTTTTCTTATGTAAATTCGGATTTAGTTGACAATTTGAGCACACTTTGATATTAAAAAAAAAATCACACTTTTCCAATTATTTTTTCTTTTTATTAATGAAAATTTGAGTTCACAAAACAGAGTTTTCCAATATTTTCGTTTTGAATTTAGTTTTTTTTTCAAGATTTCTGTCCAATTTGTAAATTGAAAATCGAAACTTTCAGATGAAACTTTGATCACAGTTATTATAAATTGATTTCACTTTGTTGCGAGAGAGAGGAAAAGTTCGAACTGTTGACACGAGCGCTCGCACTAAAAACTAAATTGTAATAATAATATCCAGTTTGCTGTGTATTATTTTTGTGTCATATAATGGAGAGTTTGGAGGATGCGCGCGAACTATTGACACCGGAGCGGCGATAACAAAACGAGAAAATGTTTCTCTTCGCAGATGATGATGATGTTAAAGTTGATACCGTTTTGAAAGGATCCGACAAAAGGATCGAGAAGTTCGTGTTCGTGCAGATCGAAGAAAGAGATTGGTTCTTGAACAATGGATAAATCTAATCTATACAAACATATTTCTTGTGCGTAAGAATTCGGTTTTCTTCGTTTCGAATCCACCTCTTTTTGGATGTAATCATTACGTTTTTTTTTTGCTGTTGTTGTTAGTATCTCGTCGCGTTTATTACTGTTATTAGCTGGCGCCGCTCCTTCGCTTCCGGGCTTTTTTTTTCTTTTTCTTTTGATACGAATACGAAACCGCATCCATTTCGGATGGAGAACATGTAATAATGGCATCGGCCTTAATTAAACCCGAAGCTACTCTATTATTATTGTTATTATCGACGTTTGCATGAAGATTGTGTTTGCGTATGAGAGGGAGAGAGAGAGAGAGAAAATACGGATTTGCGAGTGAAACAGAATGAGACGGATTGGATGGATGGATACGTTTTGCATATATTCAAATCACATGCAAATTGTCCCTTTTTATCGATTCGAGATGAGGAAACGTCCAGCAATTAATGAGAGAAAAAAAACAAAATAATTTGATGCAATAATAATTGCATCTTGTCAAAATAAAGAAAAATTAATGATCTAGAAGGCACATAACGTTAATCATTGATAAAACAGAACGTCGATGTATTTAAACGTCAAATCTGTCAATTACTGTATGGAAGTTACATTTTCAATAATGAAACATGGATAATCTAGAAATCAAAGCTAAAACAAAACGTCTACAAGTGTAAACGTCAAATGTGTCAAAAATTGTATTTAAATTATACTTTTAGCAATGAAACATGGATAATCTAGAAATCATAGCTAAAACAAAACGTCAACAAGTGTAAACGTCAAATCTGTCAAAAGTTGTATTGAAATTACACTTATTAGTGATGAAAAACAGATCATTTAAAAATCATTGATAAAACAAAACGTCAAATCTGTCAAATACTGTTTTGAAGTTACATTTTCAATAATAAAACACGAACAATCTAGAAATAATAATTAAAACAAAACTTCAAGAAGTGTAAACGTCAAATCTGTCAAAAAGTGTATTGAAATTATACTTTTAGTAATGAAACATGGATAATCTAAAAAGCATAGCCAAAACAAAACGTCTACAAGTGTAAACGTCAAAAATTGTATTGAAATTACACTTTTAGTATTCAAAAATAGATAATTTAGAAATCATTGATAAAACAAAACGTCAATGTCTTTAAACGTCAAATCTGCCAAATGTTGTTTTGAAGTTACATTTTCAATAATGAAACATGGACAATCTAGAAATCATAGCTAAAACAAAACGTCAACAAGTGTAAATGTCAAATCTGTCAAACGTTGTATTGAAATTACATTTATTAGTAATTAAAAATAGATAATTTAAAAATCATTGATAAATCTGTCAAATGTTGTTTGAAGTTACATTTTTAATAATGAAACATGGATAATCTAGAAATCATATCTAAAACAAAACGTCTACAAGAGTAAACGTGAAATCTGTCAAAAGTTGTATTGAAATTACACTTTTAGTAATGAAAAATAGATAATTTAAAAATCGATAAAACAAAACATCAATTTATTTAAACGTCAAATCTGTCAAATGCTGTTTTGAAGTTACATTTTCAATAATGAAACATGGACAATCTAGAAATCATAGCTAAAACAAAACGTCAACAAGTGTAAACATCAAATCTGTCAAAAAGTGTATTGAAATTACACTTTTAGTAATGAAACAAGGATAATCCAAAAATCATAACCAAAATAAAACGTCTAGAAGTGTAAACGTGAGATCTGTCAAAAGTTATATTGAAATTATACTTATTAGTAATGAAAAATAGATAATTTAAAAATCATTGATAAAACAAAACGTGAAATTATTAAACGTCAAATCTGTCAAATGCTGTTTTGATGTTTAATTTTTAATAATGATAATCAAGAAATCATGGCTAAAACAAAACGTCAACAAGTGTAAACGTCAAATCTGTCAAAAATTGTATTGAAATTACACTTTTAGCAATGAAACATAGATAATCTAAAAATCATAGCTAAAACAAAACGTCTACAAGTGTAAACGTCAAATCTGTCAAAAGTTGTATTGAAATTACACTTATTAGTAATTAAAAATAGATAATTTAAAAATCATTGATAAATCTGTCAAATGTTGTTTTGAAGTTACATTTTTAATAATGAAACATGGATAATCTAGAAATCATAGTTAAAACAAAACGTCTACAAGTGTAAACGTAAAATCTGTCAAAAAGTGTATTGAAATTACACTTTTAGTAATGAAAAATAGATAATTTAGAAATCATTGATAAAACAAAACGTCAATGTCTTTAAACGTCAAATCTGTCAAATGTTGTTTTAAAGTTACATTTTCAATAATGAAACATGGACAATCTTGAAATCTTAGCTAAAACAAAACTTCAACAAGTGTAAACGTCAAATCGGTCAAAAGTTGTATTGAAATTACACTTTTAGCAATGAAACATGGATAATCTAAAAATCATAGCTAAAACACAACGTCTACAAGTGTAAATATCAAATCTGTCAAAAGTTGTATTGAAATTACACTTATTAGTAATGAAAAATAGATAATTTAAAAATCATAGACAAAACAAAACGTCAAATCTGTCAAATGCTGTTTTCATGTTTCATTTATTTTTTTTTTCATTTCATTTAATAATGATAATCAAGAAATCATGGCTAAAACAAAACGTCAACAAGTGTAAACGTCAAATCTGTCAAAAGTTTTATTGAAATTACACTTATTAGTAATGAAAAGGAGTTAATATAAAAATCATTACTAAAACAAAACGTCAATGTATTTAAACGTCAAATCTGTCAACTGTTGTTTTGAAGTTACATTTTCAATAATGAAACATGGATAATCTAGAAATCATAGGTAAAACAAAACGTCATAAAATGTAAACGTCAAATCTGTCAAAAATTGTATTGAAATTACACTTTTAGTTATTAAAAATAGATAATTTAAAAATCATTGATAAAACAAAACGTCAATTTATTTAAACGTCAAATCTGTCAAATGCTGTTTTCAATTGTAATAATGATAATCAAGAAATCATGGCTAAAACAAAACGTCAACAAGTGTAAACGTCAAATCTGTCAAAAGTTTTATTGAAATTACACTTATTAGTAACGAAAAACAATTTTGATGATTTATTTATAATAATGATAATCAAGAAATCATAGCTTAAACGAAACGTCAACAAGTGTAAACGTCAAATCTGTTACAAAGATGTATTAAAATTACACTTTTAGTAATGAAACATAATAATCTAAAAATCATATCTAATAGAGAATATCTACAAGTGTAAACGTCAAATCTGTCAAAAGTTGTATTGAATTAAACGTCAAATCTGTCAAATACTGTTTTGAAGTTACATTTTCAATAATGAAACATGGACAATCTAGAAATCATAGCTAAAACAAAACGTTTACAAGAATAAACGTCAAATCTGTCAAAAAGTGTATTGAAATTACACTTTTAGTAATGAAACATGGAAATCTAAGATAACAAAAAAAGAATTTACAAATTTGATTCGATTAATTTATCATTCACATTTGACACTCCACAATCGTTGTTACATAATGATCAAGGATGTACGAGAAAATTAAACAAAAAGCAATCAGTGCACTTTCTAAACATCAAATGTGCCAGACAAAACAAACAATAGATTAAATATTTTAAAATGCATTTTTTGATAACGACTTATTTACAATTAGTAATTAAAAATAAAACATTGATACAAAACTTATATAATAAACAATTCTTAAAAGAAAATTTGTGAAAATTTCAAAATCTAATAGAAAGTTTGTCTAAATTAAAAAAAAATTCAAAATATTCCAGTCATATACAGAAATCTTCAATTTTCAATTATTAAATTTTTAAAAAAACTTGATTTTATACAGAAAATTTCAATTTCCAATTATTAAATTAAAAAACAAAAACTTGATTTTACATCAATTTAAACAGAAAATTTTATTCGATATTTGGAATTCATTTATTGTTGATACAGATTTAATAGTTTCGAATTGATTGACAAAAAAAAATGCAGAAAATGAAATTGCGTTGACATAAATCAATGTACTGTAATTACGTTACCAAGACAAATGACGGACGCGAAATAATTATTGTTTTGCGTTTCGCAACGAACGCTGCGTTTCCTTGGAAACTCAATAATTATGTATAATTTGATGGAAAGAAAAAAATATGGCAACCACGTTTTGCGGTGTTAATTAATTGAACCGATAATGGAGATTAATCGATACGTTATTTTTTTTTTTCAGTTTTCGCGCTATCACGAAACGTATCATTATTAACCTTTCGTTTTAATTGCAGAAAAGAGTTGAAAAATGACGATATACAAAAAAAAAAAATCTACAATCATACAAATTACGTATGCAAATGTTTTAGTATATAGGAATAGACACAAGTTTACAAATCGAAGCGACTAATGTTTCTTTATTAACGAGCGTGTTTTACTCGCAGACAACGCGTAATTACGTAACATGTTGTCTGTTTGCAGTTAACAGCGAAAAGCACGAAATATATGTGCATGTATATATAAACGTAAACATTGTATTAATTG